GTAGGAAAACTGAATTTTTCCCTTGCAAGTATGAAAATGGATCCATATGAATACTGTTCTTACTACTACGCAAGTAAAGCATACAGAAATACCCAAGAAATCATTTTTCCCGTTGGCAATCCAGTTGAATGGATAGTTCCAGATGATGTCTGTGACATCGATGTACTAACACATAATCAAAAGCGTAGTTGTGGAAGACCTACTGAGAAGAGATTCAGATTAGCATATGAAGAGAACATAACTATGAAATGCGGTCGGTATGGTGAAAGTGGTCACAACTGCAGAACGTGCAACAGTCTAGTTCCGTTAAGTCACTACCAATCACAAAATAAAGACAAGAAAAGGAGGAAGTCTAACAATGCACATTGACCTAAATGCGATAATTTCTTTATTTTTTAATTTGTTGATTGTACGTAATGTATGACACTAAACTTGAGAAGATACGCATATTGATTCAATCATTATCAATAGAAGGTTTAGATTTTGTACTGATGCATTTGGTATTTTGATTCATAAGTGTGCTGTGACCATAATAAAGATCTGTGACCTGTGTTGTGAATTCAATGCAAAGCCCTGTGACTGCGTAGTGAGAATATGTGACCTACTGCACGTATGACACGCATAACATGTGTGTCACACATGAAAACCTGTATTTGATATGTTATGTGACTAATGCAATGACCTGTGACTTTTCGCTAAGAATATGTGACATGTGCTGTAACATTTATGACATGTGACATGTGACTTGACCTATTTGATATTTATGACATATGACTTGTGCTGTAACATTTTATGAATTATCTGGGACTGACCAATATGCAATGACCTGTGATTGTGACCAATATGTAATGACATGTTGCTGTGACCGATATGTAATAACCTGTGCTAATAGCATTACACCCTGTCAAAGAGACCATTTGAATTGAGTTTTGAGATATGAACAATGATACGCTATCAACCATACGGAATATAACATACAAATTATCATTTCAAGACAATGTAATGAAATGTTCCAACTACTGTGAAATTCAATATAAACAATAAAAGCAACATGACGTAGTCATTACAAACGAATATCCAAAATAAGAGAACATGTTTCCATCTATTACAACTTGTGACTACATATAGAATTATCACTCTATCACAATGCTTTCTCCTCCAGTTTGGAACACTTTCTTTGTGGCCTTCTTGATATCCCGATATTTGAACAACAATGATGCTATATCGAGTCGTGCTCTACCCGCATCGAATTTCATGGACATGGATCACATGTCATCTTGTAGCATGTACTCCACATATTTGACCACATATATGCCGCAATCATGTTTGAAGAATAAGCATCAGTCAATTAGATATAAAATCCAGCATGTAATAACATGGTTAACTGTAAAGTCGTGGTAAAAAACATACCCATTTTTCTATT